GAAATGATCCGTTCTTGTGGGGGTGGGGGAGGTGAATTGGTGGAGGGGGGAGGATAGGAGTGTGGAGTGGTGAGGTAGTGGAGGAGGATAGGAAGAGGGTGGGGTGGGTGTACGACCTAGCTAGCCTCTAGTTCTTGTAGGTGGGGGGTAGAGAGGTTATGTGGGGGGGGTGAGTGCCACAGACGTCAACACTCTAGGTGGAGGTCAACATTTCTCCACTAGTAGGAACTTCCCCAAAGACACACCATCCTCTCCTCCCTGTCCCGCCCTCTCTCTCTCTCTCTCTACCTCCTTCCACCACTCCTTCACCCACCCCTACATCACCTCCCTCTGCCACCTCCACGTTATTATTCCTCAACTTGAAGAACAAAATAACATGGGAGTAACTTACCTGTGCACCGTATGTTAAGTAATTTGTGAGGGAAGAACGACACAGAAACACGATAAACAAACAAACAAACACAGGTGTAGTGGGGACGGGCTTCAGAGAACACACACACACACAAAAAAACGGGTTCCTCCTCCCCCCACAGAAGGGCTGGGTTGAGGAGGGGGGGGCGGACGGCCTTGTCTTAGGTTGCGTACTGCCGGTGAAAGTAATTCTCTCTACCGACGTCACTGAGGTAATAGGGTTACTCACACACACACACACACAGGACTACACTTACCACATCTCATTGTTAAGAGCAGCTAGTTGTGTATGTTGTTGTTCTCTCACGTTTAGGTTATAAATATTTACCGTATATATTATATTAGAGTTTGGACATTATTTGTTGATGAACGCGAACTGTATAAACCATCCTGTGCCTTCTCTACTGATTCTGAACTAGGAAAATGAAACGACAGCAAATGAGGTCACTAGCTTACAACAAGGTGGGGGGTGCCATGATAGTGCCAGACCCAGGTTTAATCGCTGACACTTGGCACCCGATTCTGTGGGTTAAGAACTTCAATACCTTAAGACAGTGGTATGTGTCTCAAGTTAGCTACACCTGTGTGAATTAGGTGCCCGCAGGTGTACAGGTGTTTGATGACGAGGTTAGGGATGGAGGGAGGGGTGGGTTGGGGGACTAATGGTGTTGAGGGACGAGGCTAGAGGCTAGTGAACTGTCGTAGGTCACCCCAGTGTATTGTGACCTGTTATTGTGTGTGTGTGTGTGTGTGTGTGTGTGTTTGAGGAGATGATTGGTTGGGCAAACACAACAATTTTCTCCTCCCTCCCCTGGCGTACAACCCACCCCCTCCGCCCTGACAGTCTTCCGGCACAGTAAAGACTCACCTGGACGGGGTCGCCACTCAGACAGACAAGTCACCGTGTCCCATTTATCTCTCGTGGTCCCGTCAGCGCCACTTACCACTGTCGCTGAGGTTAGACAGGTGATGTCACGGCGTCTCACCTGTGTGTTCCGTGACACTGTGGGCGCCATCGGTAACGGAGGGGGGGTCGCAGTCCCGCAATCACCTACTATTTGTTTCTCCGACGGGTTGTTCCTGTTCTCCGTCGGGTTGTTCCTGTTCTCCGTCGGGTTGTTCCTGTTCTCCGTCGGGTTGTTCCTGTTCTCCGTCGGGTTGTTCCTGCTCTCCGTCGGGTTGTTATACTGCTTTCCGTCTGGTTGTTCCTGCTCTCCGTCGGGTTGTTATACTACTTTCCGTCGGGTTGTTCCTGTACCTGGGGGCGTGAGAACAACGACGTCTTGACTGACACACTTAAGCCACGACACAAAGATCACCTGAAGTTGAATCACACTAACCTAACCTAAGTGGGTGAGAGAGAGAGAGAGAGAGAGAGAGAGAGAGAGAGACTGTGGTGACAAGAGAGGGTGTGACCTGCTTCCCCCATCCAACGTCGGGTTAGGTTGAGCAATCACCACTACACACACACACACACACCAGCGAGAGGAAAGAAGGAGGCGTTACAAAAAGTTGGCTCAGGTTTGTTAGCGAGGAGGAAGCCATGTCGGGTGTTGTGTAACCAAACTTAACCTAACCAAACCTAACCAAACTTAACCGAACCTAACTGTACTTGAAAGACTATTTTTTGTATATAATTAATTATTGAGGAAATCTCATTGTAATTTTTCTGATTTCCTCCTCTCCCTTTCTTCCTCCTCCTCCTATTTTCCTCCTCCTCCTCTTTTTTTCCTCCACCTCGCCTTCTTCCTCATCATCCTCTTCTCCTCCTCCTCTCTCTATAATCCTATTTTCTCAGCTCTTCCTGTGTGTGTTTTATGACCTTGGTACCTTGACTTTATTCTCTCTCTCTCTCTCTCTCTCTCTCTCTCTCTCTCTCTCTCAGACCACCACACCACCCTAATTAGAATACAAATACAGTAATACTAAGGTTCACAATATCACCTTCAGTATACACAAGAGGCACTACAGAGGCCTGACCTAAAACAGTAGCTTACAATCACTGCTGTTATACTCTGCTACTATGATAAGGCTTATCTTTAAAGGGGCATCTTATCTCATCTATGGTATATTGTTGTGTGTGTGATAATAACCATAATGATAACAGTTGATAAAAGTACTACTATTAATACTACTACTACTATTAATACTACTACTACTACTACTACTACTACTACTACTACTTTTATTTTTAAATATGGCCTCCAGCCTCCCCCAATAGCCATACCTTCGCCACCATTTTATTACCTTAATATTAAATATCCTTATACATAAATAGCTATTCTAACAGTTTTGAGTTAGTTGAGCCGCAGATCTATGCGGCATTCAGTGACTGTTGCCTCATAGTCAATATCTGCAACTGTTGTCGGCTTTGGGGCCGATGCTCTCGTTCCCCTGAGGCAGAGCAAAGCCGACCGAAGGAGAGAGAAGGACAGTCGACATCTCATCTAGGCTGTAACATAACTTCTGGGCTGCTACTTCTGTTCGGATATCACCTCCTCGAGTCCGGTGTAGAAGCATCTTGCACTTGGTCCCATCCCACCAGATGTTGTGAACACTAGAGGAGTGAAGCTGCCTTGATCAACGTTCTGAATTCTCTCCCCGTATGCCCTTATCTTGTTCTCGTTCCTCCTGTGTGCAGCATCGAGAGCTAAGTTACGATGACATGCGGCCATGGAATAAAATATCCTGATGTCGAAGAAGGCTCGCTGTCCCTGCGTCCAGAATCCTCGAGCACTGACGTCAGCACGGGCTTCGTTGGATGTGTTTGGAGTCCTATGTTGGAAAATCTCACCGTCCAATGGAAGGAGGGTCGGTTCTACCCTGACATCACGGCAAATTTCCTTCAACATTATTTGCTGTGAGATCCTTTACTTCGTCATGCCTCATGCATATGAAGCCCCCTTTCTTGCACACCATGGCATGATCGACGTCATAGGAAGAGTCACACACCACTGGGAGGGCAAACCTTCTACTGGGTTACCGTACCTTAGAGCATTGGCATCTGTAAATTCTTGTTTATTAAGACTGAAACCATTTGCCCTTATCGGTAACGTAGTTAACCAGTTCTAGGCGCCCACCTCCTGCGCTATAGCGACTTTTTTTTTCAAATTCTCTGGTACTTGCAGCAACAGTTGCTGCAACTTATCACTTTGGCCATGCTGTCGTTCTGTCGTAATGGACCTTCGAATCTTGTTTACTTCACTGGTATCCACCTCCCCTGTTGCGTTCTGAGCTATTATGTGGTCCGTGAGGGCTGCCATGAGCTTAACTGAGTTTTGATGTTCGGTGGCAGCAATCTCCTCTGGATTGGTCAGTCCCATTCCTACTACTACCTACTACTACTACTACTACTACTACTACTACTACTACTACTACTACTACTACTACTACTACTTCACTTTTACTACCAATAATAATAATAATACATCGTCCGTGTGTGTGTGCTCGTGTGCATGTGTGTGTATTTATATCTTGGTAAATTTGACTGGTAGCGTTAAAACACGAAAACGGGGTCGTATTAACGGGGTTTGACGGTATAGCTGGGTGGAGAATATAGGTCTGGTTCAGAGAGAGACAATGTTATTCTCTCTCTCTCTCTCTCTCTCTCTCTCTCTCTCTCTCGGTATAAGTAAATAACAATGGGGATAAAAGTGATAATTTTAGCAATAATAACAATAAGAAGAAGTAGAAGAAGAAAATGAACACGAGTGAGGTACTTCTCCGAATTCCCCCTCCTTCCACTGCTTTACCTCTCCCCCCCCCCGCCCCCTACCCCCCTGCGAGGTCACACAACCAAGCTTATAAGGTCACGGATGACCCACCTACTTACCCCCTCCCCACACACACACGCAAGCTTAATGTAAACCAGCCTTAAATTTGTTTGTCTACAGTTTACATGTGTCTACACCTGAAAATTCACCTCGCGGGTTAACACGTGTTGTATCAGCGCGTCAGTCACTCGAGGTACTGCCTCGTATTTTCTGTTTACAAATGTCTGGTTGCGACAATTACCGCTGTAATATCTGTTTACGATAGCTTCTGGGCCCTGGCTGACATCCATACCCTGCCCCCAACCCCGATTACCCCACCCCACCCCGAACACACGGAAGGTTTAAATGTCTTATCAATGTAGGTCAAAGGCGGAATTCACGAGGGCTTTATATAACTTTAGTCATCTGTCTGTCTGGCTGGCTGGCTACTACTGGCCAGTCTCTCTCTCTCTCTCTCTCTCTCTCTCTCTCTCTCTCTCTCTCTCTCTCACACACACACACACAATGTAAATACTACGGTTCCGTTGAGTAATTTATCGTACCATTAACTGTGTGTGTGTGTTACCAGGTAGTGTATTAGATAGTCTTGTCATGGGTGGGTAGATGTGCGGTGGACGAGTGTAAAAACAGTGCTTGTCTGTTGTTTCATGGGTTATTGGTTGGATTCCATATCATTACCTAAGTTTGCAGTTTAGGTAATGAAGAAGATTGAGTGCAGTGGCTATTAGACATTTCCTTATCTTGAATAATGTCATTTAAGCTTTTTGTCTTATGTTTTTTTTATACTTATTATGTCTTATGTCTTATCTTCCACAGTAGACAACGATGGCGGGAGAGTGGTACCCCCTCACCACAATGACTCTCACCATCACCACCACCATCATCACCACCATCACCATCTTCCTAATGGTGGGGTTGGTAGGTCGAGGGAACAACTACTCCAGGATCTTCTCTCCAACAGTCAACTCATGCCCCACCTTCAGAACGCCAACCCTACCACCACCACCGCCGCCCCCACCACCACCACTACCCATAATACCAACCTGTACAATACCGGATATCAACCACACCCAGCCGCCCACGCTGGACACCGGACCGCGTACTCTGCCTCCCAGCCAAACACCTCAGGTAAGTTGGTTTATTTACCTGTATATCGCCTCCTGCTGGGGTCTGTGGTGGTCTCCTGCTATAACTGTGTCTCTGTGATCTGCTCTCTCTCTCTCTCTCTCTCTCTCTCTCTCTCTCTCTCTCTCTCTCTCTCTCTCTCTCTCTCTCTCTCTCTCTCTCGTCAGGTTGAGGAGCTAGTCTTCACCTTACTCCCGAGAGAGACATCAATAACAGCCTCCAGCAGGTAGTACTCAGACGGCAATTACTTAACACTATGACACCAACCAGGAACTGTAACGACAAACATGACCTAGTAGTCAACCAAGAAGTAGTTAAGATAAGCCCCGAGAGAGAGAGAGAGAGAGAGAGAGAGAGAGAGAGAGAGAGAGAGAGAGCTCTTCTTCACTATATACTGCAGGTGGGAGGTCCTCTTGTAACTGAAGTAAACTAAAGGACAGTAATTCTCCCAGTCTTTGTCACGTTGCCCGGGTGGTGGTGGGGGTCCGGCCAGTCACTATAGTGTACCCAAATCATCCACAGATGTAACAAAGTGTAGTGTAGATAGTGCAGAAAAGGAGATAGAGAGAGAGTGAGTTTGCTATCTCTCGTTCTCTCTCTTGCTAAAGATAGATAAGGAGAGAGTGTTGTTGTTGTTCTTTTGATATCCCTTACAAAGCTTTCAGGGCGGGTTTGTGTTGTTCTTTAAGCTTTCAAAACTTTCAAACTGGATCTTTGGTCAAAGCTTTTAAGACTGATCTGTGTTGACGTTGCAAAGCTTTCAGGATTACATAGACGGTCTTTAATTTTCTTATTAAGCTTCCTTGTGTAAGCTTCCAGGAGAGAGAGAGAGAGAGAGAGAGAGAGAGAGAGAGAGAGAGAGAGAGAGAGAGATCCCTCCAACTAAGGGTGACTGTAGTACCTCATCTCACAGTATAAGCACAGCACATAACAGCTTCCAGGATTTCTGACGGGTCCTTCCCGTGATAAGCGGCTCCGTGACACTCCTTGTTTCCGGGGCTCAGAGTGTGGCTACTTTACCGGAATACCGACAAACACGGTTTACCTAATATGACCTCACACTTGAGACTGTTGCCACACCGCTCTTATCATCACCGTTTTTTGTTAAGTTATTTATGAGTAAAGGAGGTTGTGGATTGTTTTGTTGTGCTCCAGGAGGGGTTGTGTGGGGTCTCCCTCCTGGTACAGCAGTTGGTGTGACCGTGTGATACACAACACCAAGTTGGGGTAAATTATTGACCTTGCGGCAACTCAGGCTATGACGTCATAGAACGGCCTGGATTGTCAAGGGTACGATTGTCTGGATCCGCCGGCGGCGTTCTGCAGTTTACTTAAGTTTCAGTGAGTTTTGTTTGGTTCTTACTCAGTGTATTGATGCAAAACACAGGCGGCGACGCTGTTTTTGTATTACAAAAGGCGTTAATGGTATGTGGCAACTCATGTTGGTGGGAGTGAGGTAAGAGGAGGTGGAAGCCGCGGCCAGGCCGGGGGTCGGGACGCAGTGCCTGATCGCAAAGTTACCTATTGATCCACACGAAAATAGCGGCAGTTACGTCACTGGCCGCTGGTGACGCACTTTTTAAAGACGCGCGGAAGAACCGAGACTGGAAGTGAAGGTTATGCGGGGGCGGCTCCCGCCCACAGCTGCCTGGACCACCACCGCTCTGGACCAGCCCTGGACTCACCCACCTGGACCATGGGCTTTTTAGACTAGCCTTGGTCCATTGTTAGATTTATCCCTCTGGACCACTGCTGGACCCATTTACTAGTACCTTGGGGTGCCACATCGCCCCTCTGGACCAATGTGTCCCCCGCTGGCAGTGATGGACCAGAGCAGCTCATGGTAGTGGCCAGGAGTGTAGAGGGGAGCCAGATGAAGGATATTAACTACAAGAGAGGTGGAGCCTTGTGGGGGTGGGGGGTAGTAGTGGTGGTAGAGGGTAGAGGACACGGGGTGGGGTGACACGGCACACTTCATCGTCATAGTAGCTGAGGGAGGGGGGGCAGTGTTAAGACTTATATACCACACTGTCTGTCTTCATCATCAGGTGTGTGTGTGTGGTTGATGAGCAAGGATAACAGTGAGTATAGTTGATGGACACTGAATGATGGTCGTACACTTGGTGGAGTGGAAGTGTACCCCTGGGTCGCCGCCCCCCTTCCCCCTGGTGAACCAAAAAGAGCCGTCGACCATCCTCACGGCTGCTGTAAACGACCCTGACCCCGGAGCTGAGATGAGCTTCAGCTGCCCGCACTGCGACGATCCTGCCACCACACTCCTCCTCTCTTCCTCCTCCTCTTCCTCCTCCAAGCAGCATGACTATTACTACGAACAGCACAACCTATTGCTTCAACCACTACCACACTACTAGCATAACCATCCTACAACACGACCTCCCCCCCCCCCACACACACACAGAGTACTTGCACTTTATCTTAAATTAAAGTGGACCCAGACAGCGATGCAGTCTTCACAGATTTCACTTGTGTCTGAGAAAGAGAGAGAGACAGAGAGAGAGCGAGAGGGGGGGGGGCGCTTTACTTGTTTTAGGAAGTGGGGGGATGGGGGGTGGTGGTGGTGGTACATAGTGGAGGAGGCGTCGACGGGGATAGGGTACATACCGCTTACTGGAAGCTGTTGAGCGTACTGATGCAAGTTTGAGACTGGGTGGATAGGTGGGTGGATGGATGGCTGGGTGGGTGGGTAGAATGAGGTACAGAAGAGAGAGAGAGAGAGAGAGTGAGTGCTTTAAGCTTCAACAGGAAGGAGCAAAGGATCGCAGGAGACGCCCAGGCCAGCCCATGAGCTAGCTAGCGTGGGAGGGGAAACACATTCACGATAACTTAAGGCTCAATCTACGTGGGAGAAAGTGGGTAGGAGGATGAGGTTAAAGTGAGAGAAGGAGGGAGAGAGAGAGTATGAGGATAGGAGGGATGAAAGAGAACGCGAGAAAGAGGAGAATGAATAATGAAAGGGATAGAGAGAGAGAGAGAGAAGGGTAAGTGAGAGGGATAGAGAAATGAAAGGGTGTGCGAAAGAGGAGGATGTGAGATAGTGTGAGATGGAAGAGATCTCAGCTGGGTGGGTGGGTGTGTGTTCCATGGTACGAACTATGAGAGAGTCGGTTCCTAAAGGTTATCTCACACAGCTAAAGCTCTCCCGAGGGTCTCAGCCGAAGGAGGAAAAGTGTGTGTGTGTGTGTGTGTGTGTTTTCGCGTAATTTGCCTGGCTTGTTTTGTGTTTGTGACGTGTGCTTTGTGTTTGTGACATGTGCTTTGTGTTTGTGACGTGTGTGGACCCGAAACATTATAAGTTGTGTTTACAGTTTCAAACTTCAGCAGCATCAAAGTAAATGACTATAAATAAACAAACAAACATCCAAGCGAAAATCTTGCTTCATTCATTAAAGGCAAGTGTGTCTGTGTCCCGTACTGTTGACATTTAGATCAACAGTAGTCGTAGCAACGGTATCCAGGCAACGGAGGAGTCCTACAAACAGTGCCGTTCTTGTACCTGTTGTTGGGTGTTGTCGAGGAGCATCTTGGCGCCGTGGGAAAGCCTTCCATTCACAAACCTTGAGACCTGGGATCGACTCGAAGGGGTGGAAGAGGGGAAGGACTCGGTCAAACGGCGGTGTATATTTTGCCCTAGAGTAACAGACAGAAGATCTCTCGTTCGCCAGGCGTTGTTTTAAACCACCGTTTGATCGCCTTTGCTGGCAAAAGTTTTGTTGTTTCAGGAGGCGCTGGAGTCTTTAGTGATAAAGCTCCTGTTCGCCAGACGCTGTTTTCACCCTGTTTGATCGCCTTTGCTGGCACTTTGTTGTTTCAGGAGGCGCTAGAGCCTTTGGTGTTGCCTTTATAAAGTGTGTGTGTTCCTTACCACCTGATGCTACTCACGGTGATACTTAGGGTGTTTCTTAGCGTGTTACTCACGGTGTTTCTCTCTCTTGTGTACTTTACAGTGGGCGGGTCTCTGCCTCCCTCCCCCGCGGACTCTGGAGTGTCGGACGTGGACTCTTCCAGCGGACACACCAGTAATGACGAGTCCAAGACCAGACTACACCTAGCAGGTATGTTTCTCTCACTGCACACTCCTTCCTCCTCTTCCTTCTACTTCTTCCCGTCCTCTGTCTCTCCTTCTCCTACTTCTTCCCCCCTATGTCTCTCCTCCTTCTACTTCTTCTTCCCCTTCTGTCCGTCTTTCTTTCCCTCTTTCTTCTTCTCCTCCTCCTGCCCCTCTCTCTCTCTGTTTATCTTCTTGTTTTATCCTTATTCTTCCCATTCATTGACTTCATGCTGTCCTCTGGTAGACCAAACGTACTCACGACGCAACTGATTAACCAAGAAGACACTCCTCTCCTCCCCCTTCCTTCCCTCTCCCCCTTCCTTCCCTCTCCCCCTCCCTTACCCCCTCTGGACATATTGGGGGAAAGGGGAACAGATTGGTGGGCGTGGGGTGGGTTGGTGGGCGTAGGTTGGCAGGAAAGGATGGGTGTAGGGTGGGGGAAAAGGGTGAGTGGGTTGGTGGGTAATAGGTGAGACACTGAAGGTGGGTTGATGGGGAGGGAGATGTGAGCCAGAGAGAGAGAGAGAGAGACCCTTCCTACTGGACCTATATAATGTAGTTCTGATAGTCCTGGGAGATCGTGGGGTCCGAGGCGGTTATTCAGCAGTCTTACTCCAGAACCAACACACACGCACGCACCGTTTGATAGCTGCAATTCACGTTTTCCCGAATCCTTAACTTTCTCAATATTTAAGACAGTAAAATTCTTTCTTCGAGACGGGAGAGGGGTGGGGGGGGAGGGATTGTAAGGGTAGGTGTATAGGCTGTAGATGTGAGGAAATAGAGGGAGGGGAGGTGTCAGTATGGAGGGAGGGGAGGTGTCAGTATGGAGGGAGGGCCTTAAGTAGGGCATCACGTCACCCTCTTGGCAGAAGGAAGACTCGACAGTAGGCCTCGTCCACCCCCTACTAGCGTCTCTTGTTACCAGTCCTCAGACACACGCTTCCTTTCCCACGGGTACTGCCACTATCCCCCGAGGATGACTGACTGACCGAAACCACCCAAGCAACGCCGGTACTTAAAGATTTCATTACGATCATCGTCTTCATCATCAGCACCGTCGTCATCATCATCGTCACCACAGTCATCATCATCATCACGTGGGTGGTAGCACAAACAAGTACGTCCCTGACACTATATATTTAGCCGCTTTTATTTCCCTGTGGCCAGAGGGTCAGTGGGGGTCAACCCAGGTCAGGTCACCGGAGACGAAGACAGGTGTTGACCCAGTGTGTGAGAGGTGACCACAACTCGGGTCACGGGGGGAGAGCTCCCAGAAGTTTATTTTGGGAAGTTGATCCTGTGATAATGAGAGAAGAGAAAGGTGGAAACAACGAAACGGACGATAATTGGGAAGAGGCGATGATGGCCTTAGTGCCCACAGAAGCACCTGGTAATGAGTGCCGGCTGCTGTACCGTTATTATGGCACTGTTTGGCTCATTAGTGACCTGTCACCAGTTGGATTCTCATCCACCTTTATATGCCATGACAAACACCCTCCCTACCTCCTTTTTATAAATAAAGTGTGTGTGTGTGTGTTTGTTTTAATGTGTGTCCGTGTGTATGTATTATTGTGAAATTACAAGTGAACATAACGAAAACAAAACAAAATATATTAACATGTGTATCTTCTTCTGTATTACAGTATGTGGGTCGCGGACTCCAGACTCCCCTTCGTCAGGAGCGGAGGCAGGAGGGTCACTACCGTCCTTCCATCCCACCTATTCCCCACAACAACTCCACATGCGCTCATCGTCCCAGCCACCGCTCACACCAACCTTCCCAAGGCCTCAAGGTATGTAAACATCTAGTAGCCTTTCTATAGACACTATCATGATGTAGCCTTTCTATAAACACTATATCATGATGTAGCCTTTCTATAAACACTATATCATGATGTAGCCTTTCTATAAACACTATATCATGATGTAGTCTTTCTATAAACACTATATCATGATGTAGTCTTTCTATAAACACTATATCATGATGTAGTCTTTCTATAGACACTCTATCATGATGTAGTCTTTCTATAAACACTATATCATGGCTTTAGGTTTTGTTTACATCTGTGTCGTTAACTATGTCTCCTATACATGCTAGATAATGTCGGCTGGTGTCGCTAGGTTAGGTATATTGTACTGGGTGGGTTCCTACCTGCAGCTTACATCTTCAACGTCTTCATGCTCATGATCAATATTGTTCTCGGTCTCTCTCTAGTGTTTAGATCAGGGTGTCCTATTTGTCTCCTTAGATTATCCCGAAGATTAGTACCCTCCCCCCCCCCACCTCCTCCTCCGCTTATGAGAACCTGATGATTAAACACTCTATTGCTACCGGGGATTGGGGGATAGGTTAGGTTACGTTAGCAGTAGATTGTGATTACGTTAGAAGTTGGTTGTGGTTACGTTAGAAGTTGGTTGTGGTTACGTTAGCAGTTGGTTGCGTTTAATGATCACTTTATCAGTGATGGCTTGTATGTGGTCTCACCCTCTTTTAATTTATTTATGTTTTATTTATTTATTTACTTTTTTGTAACTAGGGAACATTATTGTTGTACCTGAAACAATATTGGACGGGGGGGGGTGGCTTGACGTCTTAACTAGCGTCTGGATAGGTTAGGTTAGGTTCAGTTAGATTAAGTGTAGTTTCCGTGTCAGGTTAGGTTCAGTGAGGTTAGCTTAGGTTAAGTGTACAGTTTCCGTGTCAGCGCCAGTCTGATGAGGAAATGTATTGCTCTGAGAGGAACCTTCAGCGTCGCGTGTCCAGGCCGAAGGGAAAGTTGGGAGTACGCTGTTGCCAAGTAGGTCAAGGTGGTGTTGGAAGTGAGAGTGTGTGTGTGTGTGTGGTGAGAGTGGTGTAGCATGTGGTGGTGGTAGAAGGGAAAGTGGTGCAGTGTGTTGGTGGTAGTGGTGGAAGTAATAGGGATATATAACTATGTGTTGGTTGATAATGGTGGTGTGGTAGAGGTGTGATATATATTTCTGGCTGCTGGTTGTAGTTAGTGGTAGGGATGGTGGTAGTCGTGGTATAGTGTTGGCCACCTTGTTACCACCTTATGAGATTTGTTATATAGGGAGACCTAATTTAGACCTCTTAAATAGAAATACATAGGACTGAGGCAATGTGTGTGTTGTCGGGGGAGGGGGGGGCGCACTACACCCAGATATTAAAACACTCTTGTGCACATTCCTCTCATCTTATTCCCCTGTGAACGTGATTTCTATCCAGTACACCATCTCACTGGCGTAAAGGTCGCGGTAGTTGTGGTGTATTGGCTTCTTTGAGGCGACTGGTAAGAGTCTCCTTTACAGTCGTCCCACCAAGGCTCTCCGGAGTCTCCTGTTAGTATACCAGCAGCTTTACAGTTAATGAACATGATGTCAGTAACTGGTAGAGGATACGTATTGGCATTGTGGTAAGGATAACTAAGGTTGTCCACATCATGGTGTCTGAAGTGAAAGTTGTACAATAGTGGCTCATGAAAGTGTGGCGATATCGTTGGTGGCGGCGGGAACTCCAACCAGTGGGATAACGGAAATGCCGCGCATCCGCCGTCGGGTCCAGCGCGTAACGTCTACCTAAGTGTTGCGGGAGTACGAGTAGGGAAACAGTGGACAAGCAAGGCCCATAGTGGCGGGAGGGTGCGTGGCTTATCTCACAGTTAGGCAGAAGGAGGCCCCTGCTCGAGGCCACCAAGGGTTTTCTTTCCACAGTTTCCCTTCTTCACCAACGATGCTGGCTGGCCGTCGGAAGTAATCCAAAATATGTCGTTGTTTCGTGTCTCTATAACACTCTTGAGATATTTTCTTGGGTCCTCCCTCCATCCCAATGGTTAATTCTTTTAGTGGTGGTGATGATGGTGGTGGTGGTGATGATGGGGGACAGTGGCAGGGGTGGAGGATGGTGGGGGTGGGAGAGGTGACCTTGCTGCGCCGCTCAAAGTCAGCAAGTCACTGCTCCCCACCACCACCACCACTACTACCACACCACCACCACATGTACTCCACCACACACACTCACTCACTCTAGGGCCGTACACTCCACCACTGAGAGTTGGTCGTCATTGGTCATCAGTCTAACTTGCTACACCACAAAAAATAATCACAACGTCAGCTTATCTTTCGGTAAGTTGGCACTTGGTCCGAGATGGAGTGTGTGAACCAGGCGAACACTTGATAGCTTTTCCTCGTCTAGTGTTAAAAAACAAGTCAGGTAAACTTCTTAGGAATAATATTAAGTAAACATAAGTCATCCCCAAGTTATCAGAAGTTAATGATTGACGGACTTCGTAAATCAGTGAGGAACAATCTCTGACCTTGTGTGACCCCAGGCTACCCATACACGCACAACCTCATTATCGACATTTGGGCCTTTAATACATTTGCATACGTTGAAATTCATAATACATTACGTCAGTTTTAGTACGGGGAAGTTTGAATAATTAGTTCCTCTGTAGACCCAGTGACCCGTGAGTGACAGGCCTAACGCTCCCTCATTCTCCCGCTAGTTAACACCTACTGACAGGTCGACTCTTACTCATATAAAATTAAATCATTAACTGCAGCGGTCGGCAAAATGTGCATTTAGATTTAGGCCTGCTTGCATGGTCCTGACGAGGCTGCGTTGCATAGGCGGGGGTATCCGTTCTCTGATTGGTGGAGGGCGTGGTGCCTGGCCTCTGATTGGTGGAGGGCGTGGTACCTGGTCTCTGATTGGTGGAGGGCGGGTTCGTCCGGCCAAGGAACAAAGGGTGAAGGCGGGTTGACTGACCAATCCCAAGGTCATCTGGTAACACCCCCACTACTCACGTATATTCGTATTATACAAATTTGCATTCTTCAGTTTACCATTATTAGGCCAGAGGGTGAAGTGTAAAGCAGCCCCCCCCCCCCATGTTCGTGACCTTATTCCATCTTTATCAAACTCACAACTTTTAAAGTAAGTCGTAAATCAAATTATAGAAGAGGTCATTAATTATGCCTAAGACATTTATGAATCATTGCCTCGTCTTCCTAGATACCCGGAAAACGTCTAAGTGAGGTTTTGACGTTGTCTTTATGGCCTTACGACAGGAAATCGTTGTCATATTTTTGCAAGTCCGCCCCAAGTCAGCACTGTAAGGTTCTCAAAGTCAAGTTTATTCTCCGCGTCAATGCTGCGGTTTTGTACTCGAGTGGGAATTTCTGTTAGAACATTCCTTCTTAGTTGATTAAATACTTTTAAATAGATTAGATAAAAAGAATTAACAGTTTTAAGAATAATTTATCCAAGATGGAAAACTATTGGCACGTGTGCGTTGAAGTCGTATTTTATTTGGTAGTTTGTGTTAAAAAGTTGAAGTGGTTATGTGGTGATGCGTGCCTCCAAAAATGAGTGCAAGTTGGTCATGTGTTAAGGATACGGTGATAGGCAGTCAGAAGGTGAAGAAAGAGTGGAGCATTGGAGGAGCGGGGCCGACCTTGAGGCAGCACGTTGACACCGTTTTCCCGCCACCTGCTCACCCGACAAGCACATGTATGTACGACAACTACACTATTTATAAATACTCTAGCTGAGCCATTACTCGTGTCGTATGTACTGAACAAATTAATATTTAGATAATTTTTAATTGTATTTAATTAATCTAAATATAGTCACGCATTGGGATTTGTGGGAAGATAATGAATAAAATTCACAATATATTGACTTGGCAACTGTGCTTGATCTTGCTGCCAACACAGACTTTTGGCGGGAACTTCTCCAGTAAGGTGCAGGAAACGAGCTTTTTGAGAGAATTCTAACACATGGCCAGACACGATTAAAATAATTCTGATGATATATATATATATATATATACACAGTTCAGTTATTACACATTGTTTTGCCATAATTGGTTACGTAGATTGCGATAGGCGAGAATGTTGTTTTTGCGAATTTACATGTTTATAATAAAGCCTGCGGTAGGTTTGTTGTTGGTGATGAAGGACGTCCTGATAGTGGTGGTAAACAGTGGAGGCGCATGAAAGTATACTGGATAGTGGTTTCATTCGTGTTGATTACATGTGATGTGTCACACGTGCACTACACATATCATTGACCACGTGTACACGGTGGTGTTATTGACACAGTTGACGAAACAATGCTCTCTCGTAAGATAAGATTTACAAAGAGATTGAGGAAGATATAATTGGTTCTTTGTCTTGCAGCGGGGGAGGTTAATGTTGGTCTGTACTTCCGCTCAACTCCCCAGCGACAACGATAATTGGCCGCGGGGAAGCGTCTCACTCGTTCAGTGGCTATCTTGTTCACTCGCCCGACATGTGGAGAAGCAAAGGTTGAAGAGCGAAACAGTTATTATGGTAGGAAATTAAAGCTGTGATGGGCCAGAGGTTCGTCCCACCCCCCGAGGGATGTGATGGAACGCCGTGGGAAAGTGTTGCGCGGGAGGGAAGGGTTAACCGTCGTCCCAGACTTCCCGTAACTTGTCGTAACAGCGGGTTAATAGGTTACTAGTATACCGCACCACCACTGCTACCAGATGTACACTATTACGTGCAGCGTCACTCTTTACTAATATTACGGGTCTGCAGTGTTGTTATTGGTACAGCACCGCCACCGATAATAAATATATTATGTATTATTACCAATGTGTAGCTTTCTTATTTATTATTTTTAGAAGTTGAGATTATGATTGTTGTTTGAACATGTAACTAAGCACTGTCTGTTTTCTTTACAGATTCTCAGGTGATGGGTTATGGCGGTGTGGGTGTGTCGGGTTACATGGATACTGGGTCTCCCGGGGGTGTGGCGGCAGCGTACGGGGTCACCTCCCCTCACTACACTGGCCACCCATCAGGTCTCGCATCTCCCCTCCTGGGGCCCTCCTCCTCACACATGACCCACATGGTCACCTCCGGTATGGGCCCCGCGCCATCTACCGCCTCCCCCTCCTCCTCTTCCTCCGCCGAGGACTTCTTCCTGGGCGACATGGGCTTCCCTCCCAGGATGAAGAAGAAGGCACGTAAGCCCAAGCCCGTGGATGCCAACGGCCAACAGCAGCCTGGCATGAAGAGGAAGAGCAGAGAAGGTGAGGTCCAGAACCACCACTTCAATTTTCTTCTTGTATTATACTGGGAAAAAACTGAAATATATTTTATCACACCGTAACCTAACCCAATCAAAGCCTGCCTATCCAAGAATAACCTAACCGACTCCAACCTAACGGTACCCTATCCTGATCTTGACCTACCCTAACATAACCTTACCACACCTGACCAACCCAAACCTAAGCTAACCTCACCTATATCAGACTTAACCTTAACCTAACCAAAGTAATCAAACCCCATACAACCTAATGCAACCCAATTTACCACTACACTGTTCCTAATAAGTTTTTTTTAACTTGTTCCAGGCTCAACAACATACCTGTGGGAATTCCTACTGAAGTTACTGCAGGACAAGGAGTGCTGCCCTAAGTACATAAAGTGGACGAACCGAGAGAAGGGTGTATTTAAGCTGGTCGACTCAAAGGCGGTGTCCAGGTTATGGGGTCTTCATAAGAACAAACCTGACATGAACTACGAAACTATGGGCCGTGCTTTAAGGTGGGTCATCGTTTATTTATTTTTTTCTATCTTTTTATTTATAATCTTATTCTTTTCACCTAACACTCTACACACACTTTCCTCACCTCCTCCGTTATACTTCCTGCCATTTTCTTTGTCCTCTCTCTATCCTCAACCCACCATACTCCTGCCCTCTCTTTGCATCATACCTATAGTATACTACCATACCAGCTCTCCCATCCTATTGTTAACCATCATTTATAAGAAATTGCTCTCAATGGTTAACAGCCACAACTTTAGGAGCTTTTTTCACATGAAACAAGGATTGTAGTACTGTATAGCTGTAGATGTGTTGAGAAACAATTGGTATTCGACACTTAACATTGAACTGGAAGTGGTGGTTGTGTTTGTAGGTGTTAGTTTGTAAGTATAATTTCATTGTACAGTATACTTTTAAGTAGAGTAAAATGAGAAGTGTTTTGGGGGCTCATATAGTTGGGTTTGTTAATTTATATTGTTGGATACCAGATGAGTTTATTGTAATTCCACAAGAGGGCAGTTCATGATGGTACTGCAGTCTAAAACCCAGTTATGTAGTAGCTCTTCAGACTTCAGAACTTTCAAAAATCACTTTCATTTAATTTATACAAGTATAATATGTATTGATGATGTATTATAATATTTAAAGTGATACTAAATGTTTTGTTTATCTCTACAGATACTACTACCAGCGTGGGATCTTGGCTAAGGTTGATGGCCAGCGGCTTGTGTATCAATTCGTAGACGTCCCAAAAGACATAATTGAAATCGACTGTACAGGAGCATAAGGGCATTGGCCTGTACTTCTCTGTCATGGAGGTTTCTTCTCAGCTACAAGAGGATTCTCATCAGCTGCTACAGGAGGACCAGAGTGCAGCTGCATCCCCAGCGGGAGTGTCAGCAACACCTTCAGTATGGTCCCTGCTCACACTTAGCTGTTGCAGATGAAGTGATACAGAAGAGGGTTGTGCACTCACTGCACAATATGAACCACTTATGTACCGGTTTCCTTCTGACAATAACTTGATATTTTTTCAAGAATCTGTAAAATAATAATATTATCAGAGGGAACTCTTGTGAGCTTCCCAGTTGCCTATTTCTGTATATATTGCCTCTAATCTCCACACTGTAATGACTATCACTCTGTGAGTCTGTAAATAGTATATAGATAAGATTAATTATAATTATTTTATTACATGCGCCTCTAGACGAAGTGGCAAGACTCTTGTGTCGAACACTGTGAGGCCCCACCTCCTCCTACCCATCCAGAATGTGATACTAGGCAGCCCACGGACACGGATACACTGTACTGGGCCCCTCAGTGTAGGGTGTAGTGAACGACATAGTCACACCCTCCTCCTCAAGTACCTCCTGAGCTCGTGGAAGATCCTATTATTATTATTATTATTATTATTAAAATGTCTGATCCCTGACTGTGCATCTTCCAAACTAATATTGAAAACAGAAAACTGAATCATTGAAGATATTTATGCCTCAAAGCACTTTACTGATGATGAAAACTACCCAGAGACCTGACTTGTTGTGATCAATTATGCTCTGAATCAGAGACAAACAGGTAATGAGATAAGTTGTCTCACATTGTTGAGAATCTCCCCATCATCTAACAGACAGGAAAGATTTAACTACCAGCTCAGGCGGTACTTTATGGAATCGGGTTTGAGTCCTTAAGTCAGTCCGTACGTAGATTCCCCCAAGTGTCCCGTAAATGGCGCTCAATCGGATTCGAGTTCTTATTTTGTTGGGAACTCTCCTCGGGAGGTGTCAATGGTCAGTGCCTTGCAGCTTTGACAGTCCGTTGCGCTCTGCTTCTTTATAGGACTCCGATGCCATTTTTATCCTAAATTCTGACACATTTGTGATTGGCCTTAAAGCTACTAACCTAATGCCAAGGTGATATTAGTGATAAAGTGTTGTGCAAAAAAATTGGGCATGAGGAAATAGGTTGTCCATGGTAAATTGGTGCTCAATTTGATGATGTTCCAATTCTTTGTAAGTGAAAAGAAAGCCATATCATATATTTTGAATATATTTAATACTTTTAAATTTGTACTCTATATTTTTCATCTATGAAAAAGTTGTCCAATATGTAGCTAATGCTTGCTGTTACCGCGAGACCAACAAGAGACAACCATAAGGGTGTGACGTCAGGAGAAGGGATCTCTAAGAGTGACTTGCGTCGGTCAGGGTCAAGCAGGAGGACTCCGCGTGCGCCCCTCTGTAACATAGACTCTCTCTCTTTTAAGGATTATTTATTTATTGAATACTTAATATTTTACAAGAGTTGTTAAATTGTTATATAAGTTAAATGTTTTGATGACACGAGACTGGGAAAACATTAAGGTGTAATGTAAGTTCAGTTGTGGTGTTGTGTTTTAATGTATTAATATTCAGCGGCTATGTTATGTCTATTAACAGCGGACCAACCTTTATTTCGCTAAATTGTCATTTTTATTAAATAGTTTTACATATCATTTTGGTTGTATACTAAATCATTCCTTTTTTGTAAAACCCATTTTTTGAGTGTAATAAGTTGTGGCCTCTGAGAAGTAGAGAGACCCTATGGTGTCCTCGCCTTCCTTCCCTACTCTCTCACTATCCTCATACATGATACTCCAGTCCTCCTTCCCATCAATATGCCTTCATGCTGTCGGTGCTTAATACCTTCCCTTACCTTCCAATAATACTATTACTCTCCTTTAGTCTCACCTTCACCTTTGGGATGCCTCATACATCCCCGTGACCTTAATCTTCTTCCCAGGGGTGCCTGAATACTCCCCCCTCCCCTCCCTGTACCCCAGTGATGTTAAGACCCCAATTAGCCCTCCCCCAGTAGCCCCCGGCGTGAACTAGTACCGTGAAGAGCGTGTCGTCCGCGTGTTGGTCCCAGAGAGTTGGCTTCTGTTAGTACAAAGTGTGGCGGTGGCTGGCGGCGTCCTGTCCTCACCCACCTAGCTTGTCATATGTCTTCTCATTGGCTGCACCTTACAACTTTTACAAATTTCACAGCCAATGACGAAGACCTATTTAAGTTAATGACTAAAGTTATGTTGGGATGACGTTTTGCCTTGAGAGAGCTGGCAGGAGCCCTGACTCATGTTGCCCCTAGGCAAGTGATGCCCCAGGGTGGGTGGGGACGGCATCACCACCTCCCCCAGCCTGTCCCTCCCCTAGGGGTGAGCCCCAGGGAACCCCCGGGGCCACCTCCCCCAGGGGAGAGCTAGCCCCAAGGGACCCTCCGGGCCACCTCCCCCAGAGGCCCTCCGTGGCCACGGGAGGGGCACCTCAGCCCCGTCGCTGTACAGTCGTGTCGACGGCCCTGGGCTTCGTCGGCAGCTTTTTAAGTGTTCTCACTACACACTGTATCAACACTACCATTTTTAAGGTGTAAAATAAAGCAAATGATATTATTTGATCTTTCATTTACCATTTATTACGCTGACCTTATCTTACAAAGTATTCTATCATACAACAATGACTGTTTCTTGTCAGCTGGGAACTACTTTATGTAATAAGGTGTCACTGGAATGAAAATGAAAGAACTTATGCTGCACTTGGAGATATTAAAGGTGACCGATATGACAAACTAAAATGGACAGAAAAAGTTATGTTCTGATGAAAACATGATTTGGTATAGATACAAGTAGGTACAAGTACAGGTATAAATATATAAGTACAGGAGAAATTACAAGTGCAGGTACAGATGCAAGTACAGGTACAGTAAGAGATACAAGTACTGATAAAGAAGAAAAGTACAGGTGCAAGTACTGTACTGTACCTGTATGATAGTACAGGTGTATATGCAAGTCTGGGTACAAAGACGTGCAGGTAGTCAGACGCAGATGGTTACATAATGAACAGGTAAGACATGGTGAGGAACAAGGGAATGAGAGCTATGAAATGAACTAAGAAATTGAAATAGAATTGGACATGAAAATCTTTCCGTCAGAAAAACAAGAACTATACTGACTTTTTTTATCTTTCATTTTCCACTGAAAAGATTAATTCCTATCATATAATTTCATGATATGACAACGTTTTAGGTTAATAAAAGAAAAATAATTTATTTGAAAATCTAAGATTAATGAAAAGCGTATTGTACAATGGATAGTTGTAGTAATATGAACAAATCTTACCTAACCTAACACTATAACCGAACTTAACCAAACATAACCTAAACTAACTTGACCTAACTAAATATTTACTTGGTTCTGAACTTTTTAAAGAATAACGTTTTTAGCGTTGTCTATCTTGTGCTCGTAGTGGCCAGTCATGAGAAAAAATTGTTGTGTTGAAGTCTGATGCTAACGTCATAAGTGGGCGGTGCCTTAAAACATTATTTTTGGAGGACAGTTGTTATAGAGCCCCGCCCACACACATTAACATAATGTTTAACGGGAACTACATTTGACAAGTCATTTTCGTAAAAATGGCTCAACTACCAGACGCTCTTATCAAGTCCAACAATGTTTATGACTAACTACTTTTTCTGGTGAATCACCAGTGGTGATATATCTTTTAAAATCTACGGAATAATACTTGTATTTTAATAAGTTCCTTTATTTTGCACACACTGATATTAAAGAAAGGGAAACGTAAAAGTATTGAAAAATTACATTAAGTATTAAGGAGTTTGTTGTCTAAATCTGCTCGAATATACTTTCGTTCCAGTTACCAGTGAAGATGGTTTGTTCACGTTTGTTAAGAAAACACCACGAACGAAGCCATGGAACCACTTATTTTTCAGACCACACGAACCAACCACACAAACCTAATGTAACATAATCCTACTTAATCTAACCAAAACAAACTTAAGATAAAAAAGACTCGATCAGATCCGTATGATTCTACTTTAGAAGGGAAAAAAAAAAGATTTCGTGTTACAACTTAACATTGGACCCCCTATCCTGTGGCAGAAAACTGGTGGCATGTTTTCAATTCCTCCATCTTAAAAGATAGTTGAAAACATGCCACCACTCCTGGGCGGCCCTTGATACAGCTTTCTGCCTCGCGACTGATTAATAGTTAGTCTGTGCTTCATCTGGAGGTAAGTGATTGAATAGTTCTGCCACAAGAGAGGTTATGTGGCAGGACAACGACTTATACAAAGTGATATTTCAGGGTAATAGTTAAGAGCATGAATAGAACTTACAGTGAGTGTCATACGTATACTATCCATTTTTGACTGGTTATGTAATGAATTGCATTTTTTTCCACATTTTTGGCTTGAATACAAATTAACGTTCAATGTTTTGTCGACGCCATTTTGTTTACATGCAGAGCAGCAGATACAGCAAAGGTGTACAAGAGGGTGACCACCAGAAGGAATTGTCCGAATTGGTTGACATTTTTTCTACACACTAATATCATGATATTAAACACAAAAATGAAACGAAAATGCATAGAACTTAATAGAACCTGACAATCTTTTTATTTACTCTCCCGATTCACAATTCTCCTCCCGGTGCCATTTTTGTTGTTTACCTAGCTGAATCCCTCTTCAAGAGACGTTAAATATAAATGATGAACGTTTCCACGTATTCTTCCTCGCCATTGCTGGTGTATGTCGAGGCAAGTTGTTTAACACATAAAATAATACGATAATGCATAGAACCTAATAGAACCTGACCTAACATACCCATAGGTTGGGTATGTTAGGTCAGGTTCGATTAGGTTCTATGCATTGCCGTATCCATTTTTGTGTTTAATATCATAATATTAGTGTGTAAAAAAATGTCAACCAATTCGGACAATTCCTTCTGGTGGTCACCCTCTTCTACACCTTTACCGCAGATGCTTCCAACGACGGTCATATTGTACGGCTTATGATGATCTAATATAACTAACTTCACAACCTAACGATGGTGTAATATATTTATATACTTGAAAGTAACGAATTCGGTTAACTTTGAGTTGTTTGATGACTGTTTGGTGATTATAGGAAGTAGTTACTGATCCGTTGACGGTATCCTAATAAGACTATGAGGTTTCCGTAAAAGGGCTGAAACACTATTTGGTGAAGGTCAAGGAGAAGGTTGCCACTTTAATTATTATATTCTCTAGACGGATCTTTACTGCCATTTCCTGTACACTGAAAGCAGATCGGCCGTGGACGTGTTTTAAAAATAACTTGTGAATTTTAGAAAATCTTTTAAAAAGGAGCACGCAGCCTCTTCCCTCTACTACCATGTTGAGGCTTGGCCTACAGGACTGAACTGTGGGAGACACGACCCAACAACCTAATCTAATGATCATTGGGTAATTTTGGTTGAGATTAAGTTGGTTAGTTGGCTCGTCTCTCTCATAATTAGAGAAGAACAGGGTATTCAAAGCATGATTTATGTTAGAAATAAACTCGTGCAGGTCGAATGCGTGTATTGAGGTCTCGGTGTAGCGGACCAGAAGTTACCTGGATCAGAAGTGTACGAGGATGAACTGGAAATTAAATGCTAACCGAATACCAAGGATTTAATATGGCATGTGGATCATTGGATTGTGTTTCGCCAAGATGATGTAGACTAAATATTAAAACTACACTAGTTTCATAAAGCAAGACCATTCGCACTCATGTTGGGTATACTTGCTGGTAGAGGCCAATGGGTTCTAATCTTAAACACGTTCGGGAATTTTAAAATGAAGATGATAGTCACCTTCTAATACTAGGGTTGTACTGACCACAGTCATACCTGTTAGTTAACGTAAAATCAGATGATTCATATTACGCTTAATAGCCCCAAAACATGTAGTTGTAACTTATTTCTTGCGTCCCCCAACTGAGACGTCTGTTTTCTGTCTGCTTCAATATTACTGAGACGTTCGTTTTCTCTCGTGTGTTTCAGAATCTCGTATCCCCTGTTCGCCGGTTGCCTGTGTAAATTTGAAATTATGAATGAATACGTTTGTGTTACTGTAAGATAGGTATACCTGCTTACAGCTGAAACATTCAGGATCTATTTTGAGTGATGTTGAAAGCTTCAAATGTATTTACTTTTAGTGAAATTGTTCAGTAAGTCGAGTGTTAGAGTTTGCCAGTGAGTGTGAGAATCCTTTTCCCGCAATGCTAGATGTATTACAGTAGAGTTCCATTTGCCACTGAAGTCAGATTGTTTTGATTCACAATCATCAAAGAATCTGATGACTGTATTGAAATTATTGTCCGTTTTGTATTTAGGAATGTCATTAATCATTTGAGAGAAACATGTCAACTGATCAAAGCCTGAAATGCTAACGGCCGAGCGTTACACGCCGCTTGTTCGTCTCTTACTGATGGCTCCCCGCAAAATGTTTAACACACTATTATAGATCTTTTCTTACCTTTTAGTTACATCACGAGTTTTTACAGTACTTGCAATGAACACTGTTTTCATTGTTAGGAACTTCTACAATCCAGTCTTTGCATATATCCTCTTGCAGCCATTGTCTTCTAAATTTCTGCGAGTATGATTGTTCCTTCGGCATCTTTCCCATAGGAAGATCCAGTTGAAGAATGAAGATGCTGGCCTTGTACTCGTACTCTCATGAAGTCCTTGCAAGCGACTAATGAGCTGATCAGTGGCGAAAAGGAAAATTATGTTGTTCCCCAGAGGGAAGATCTGCATCTATTGGTTATTTTCCAGCAAGAGCTTGTGAGTACGCGGCTTACTTAACGAGAATTTCCCTGGTAGATGGGCATGGGGGGTAAAATAATATAGCTAATTAATCAGTATGTGCGAGACGACCAAAACAGAATAGAGACCCATTTAATTTTTTGTTTTCTTTGAAACTGCACACATGTCTGTTATAGAAAACGTAATAGTAATGAATGCATATCTATCTCTCAAGAATTAAGAGTCCTTGATGTGCCTGGCCACACACACTTTGTTGTTCACATCTGCGTGAGAGGAATTCAAGCACATTGTGTGTTTAGTTCTGTACGTGGGAAATGGTATATCTGAGTGCAAAAAAAAAAAAGCAGATACATATTTATTATGTCAGCTATCATGCCATTAGAGGTAAAGCGCTGTGCTTGAATCTGTCCCTATGAAAGGTTGTACTATATCTTCACACAGTCAAGGACATACTGTAGTGTTGAGTGTGACTATTATTTGACCACATTTTATATTTAGTTTTGTTCACATTTGCTGAAGGGATATACTGCCAGAGGTACAGTTGGCTCCACTCGTGAGTTTACCAGGGGGTAGTTTATTGTGCACCCCCTGCATCCTGTGCAAGGCGAAGCGCAAAAAGCGTTTACAGTGCCCAACAGGGAAGCATGCGGAGTTCAATGTTACCTAGGGCCCGAGGCGACTCATGCATTTAAGGGCGCAAGCGCCTGAAGGGCCATGGGTTATATCGGCAAGTTACGTATAGTGATAAGATGCGCGGGGGAGAATAGTTAAGAATACATCGTAGTGACGGGATTAATTATCACTCAAAACAATCAGGAGGTGGGCAATACGTAAATATTTATTGTAATGCAAACTTGATGTGGTGAAAAATAGATGAGTTTACAGCTGCCCGGTATAGTATCAGCACACCACATACTGGAGTTCAGTTGTGCCAAACTGAGGTTAAGTGAGAAAATACATTATTAATTATTATTATTATTATTATTATTATTATTATTATTATTAAATATTATTATTATTATTATTATTATTATTATTATTATTATTATTATTATTATTATTATTATTATTATTATTATTATTATTATTATTATTATTATTATTATTATTATTATTATTATTCCTGGAGAAACCCTGGAATCCCTACTCCCTCACCCTCCTTGCCCTCTGTGTCCTGTTGTGTCCTCTCAATTCCACGAGGCAATTATGATGAAAATACAAATACAAGTGATACACAGTATTTCAAGCAACGGTCACGAATTTATGAAGTCAAATCATATTTGTATAGTTCATTGACTGGTGCAATTAAAGCATAAGAATATAAGAACATAAGAAAATAAGGAGTCTGCAATAGGCCGGTTGGCCTGTGCACAGGTTGTTGTATTTTGCTGCCCTACTCATTTCCTGCCATCTGGGCTGAGCTGCTTCTTTCCCAAGACTTTGGGGGCGTGTAAATCACTCCCATAATTAGTTTTTCTCTTCCTTCCGCAATTTCTACACATATAGACTGGGTTCCTATTTCACCCTTTATTGAATTATTAATACAACATTTTAATATATCCCTGACGAAGGGTGCGACCCCTCCCCCCTTCCTACCTTCCCTGTCCTTGTGAAAAAGGTTATGCCTTTCTATGTGGTACTCTGATAAAAAGTTCTTGCTCGCCTGATTCATCTAAGTTTCGGTGATTGCTATGTTGTCTACATTCTCGGTACATACAACCACTCTCAGCGAATCTATTTTATTTCTAACGCTCCTACTGTTTGTATAGTATACATTTAAACCTACCCTTCCCTGGTCTTGTTTTACTCCTTGTCTTGAGTAACCAATTTTACTCCCTAAAGCAACTAGAACGTGTAAAAAAGGACATGATCATAGTAGTAGTGGTCATTCATTGCATTACCACCGAGACTGGGAGGAATGGGATTAACTAATCCAGAGGAGCTTGCCGCTACAGAACATCAGAACTCTGTCAAGCTCACGGCAGCCCTCACTGAACATATAATAGCTCAGAATGCAGCAAGTGAGGTGGATACCAACGAATTAAACAAGATTCGATGGTCCATTACGACGGAACGGCAGCACATCCAAAGTGATAAACTGCAATGACTGTTGCTGCAATTGCCAGAGAACGTGAAAATCAGAAGTAGCTATAGCGCAGGAGGTGGGCGCCTCAAACTGGCTAACAACGTTACCGATAAGGGCAAAAGACTTCATCCTTAATAAACAAGAATTCACAGATGCCAATGCTCTAAGGTACGGTAGGCCAGTAGAAGGTTGCCCTCCCAGTGCGTGTGTGGCTCATCCTATGACGTCGAGAAAGGGGGCTTCGTATGCATGAGGCATGACGAAGTAAGGGACCTCACGGCAAATTTACTGAAGGAAACGTGCCACAACGTCATGGTGGAACCGCCCCTCTTTCCATTGGACGGTGAGAACTCCATCACAGGACTTCAAACACATCCAACGAAGTCCATATGGTCGTCAGTGCCCTAGGATTCTGGACTCGGGGACAGCGAGCTGCACATGAGAATGACATGATGAGAGCATATGGGGAGAGAATCCTGAATGTTGATCAGGACAGTTCACTCCAATGGTGTTCACAACCTCTGGTGGGATGAGACCAAGTGCAAGATTTTTCTGCGCCAGACTAGTGGAGGTGTTATCTGAACGGAAGCAGCAGCCCAGAAGTTACGTCACAGCTTGGTTGAGATGTCGACTGTCCCCTCTCCTTAGGTCTGCTTTGCTCTGCCTCAGGGGAACGAGAGCGTCGCCCCCAAAGCCGACAACGGTCGCAGATAATGACTTTGAAGCAACAGTCACTGAATGCCGCATAGATCTGCGGATCAACGAACTCAACACAGCTAGGGTAGTTACTTATGTATTAGGATATTTAATTTTAAGGTAATAAAATGGTGGCGAAGGTGTGGCTGTAGAGGGAGGCTGGAGGCCACGCCTTTGAAAGGAAAGTATTAGTAGTAGTGGTTCAAGATATTGGTAGCAGTGTTGGTAGTGGTTCAGTTGAATTTTTTTGAATTTTGTTGCGGACAGTAGCTAGTTTATTGTGCACCCCATATTCATCCTGTGAGCGGTAGCGCCAAAAGGGTCACGGAGTATAGGCCACAAAGGGTGTTTACCAGACCCCAGGCTAAGACTTAGTGTTGGAGTGTGTAGCCATATGTCTGGTCTCACACTTTACTTTTAGTTTTGTTTACATCTGCCTGCGGGGCATATCCTTGACTGGTAACTATAAAACATGGCTATTTACATACATTACTCCTACCTTAATGAATTGAAGCTCTCTGTTCGGTTTACAGTACAGATGAACTAGAGAAAATAACGTTATGTAAAAACCCATTTTCACTTCTATAGTTAGAGACACTAATCACTGGGAAAGTTTTGGCTTCTATTACGCCTGGCAGCGAAGTTGACCATAGTACAAACACATTAGTGTTATCTTCATGAGTGACTCTTGTACCATTCCATATACGCAGTCTTGAGTATTTTATCTTTATATAGATACATATATTTTCAGTTCCTTTGCTGTACAGGTATTATAAAGGATAGTAAACTAACCCTTATCATGGCAAGCCTCAACTGTAAGAGACTTTGGGTTGTCAGATGGCGACACTGTAGCTGTATCGCCTGTAGCCTAGCAGTTTCACTTCAGGAACAGCGAAGTAATCCTTGTTACTTGTGGTAAGTGGCGTGTTACATCACATCAAGGACCTTAATTGTTGACAAGAATGTACAGCAAATACTCTCATCACCTGCACTAATTCAACCATTAATCGTCGGCTTACATAATATTTTGTGCGAAGGACACCATCACCTACAGACGCCTCCATCACAACTTAAAAGTAAGCATGTATGATACATCTGTTCTGGTCGTAGTAATTCTTTTACCTGCACTTCAGTATAACGTTGTGTTTAGTTAAGGGCCTCGAACATTTAATTGGCATCTTGGTTAAGAGGTTAGGTAAGGTTAGCTTAGGTTAGGTTTGGTTGAAATTATGTTTTTTCGATGGTGTTTGATGTGTTTGAACAACTTCCCAAATAGAGCGATGACTGAAACGACAATTTTACTTTTTCTTAAATATTTTTTTTCCTGTTATAACCGAGTATAATCTTTATATCCGAGGGTTAAAACACACAAAAATCACCAATTCAACGTTTCTCTACCTAATTTAACCTAACTTAGAAAAGTCGTCTTCCCATAATGAACTTGAGTTATTGATATGATGGAGGACGGTATAGTGAGGGGAACTTGTAGCACAAAATAATCCAGAATTATGTCTTTTTCACAGTTGTTTAACGCAGATCATTAGTCTATTTCGGTGCCATAATTACATTGATTACAGTAATTCTCGAAGAAAATTTTGTGCATGCGTAAATCTCACAAGCCTTCACCTGTACTGTGATTGGTCTAACTAACCTGTTCATGTGAAGCTAATGTAAAACAAACCTCTTTATAAATATCCACTAAATTGTGTTTTGCGAACTTTATATCCGCTATTGTTGTTGAATGTTGGTCCTGTGTTCTGATTTTGTGCTCGTTTTTGGCCAGGTTTATGTACCGTACGCTTGTTGTTAATTATATGTTAGGAAAAATAGGTGGAGTTCTCAAAGCCTGATTGGTAACTGTGCAAAATATTATACTCCCAGATATATTTTTCCACCTGAATGTACAGACTCAACAACAGTTTCTCGAACCCTGGACACGAATGGGACTTGGAATCTCGGATTGGTTTCAGATTCTTCGTTCGTTTTTCAGTTTACAGAGTACTGTACTTATAGCGTTTGAGAAGTTTTTGGTGAATGTACACTGCTCTCTCTAGAACTTTAGATACAACACACATTATATTGTCTTCACCTCATTACATAAATTATATACAATAGTTACTCTAATTTTCTGAGGAGCGACTCTGTTGAAACATGAGCTGAAGTGAAAAGAGTGTGTAATGTGGTGTTTAGCTCCACCGGCTTACAATAATTGCAAGATTACTCCTAAAAATCCCAATACTTTCTGAGCATACATAAATGAGATAATTATAATTGCAGACATGAAATAGGACACGAAACACTTACATTAGCTCCATAAAAGAATCACTGAAGATGTGAATTACACGAAAGCCCTTGGGAACTTTCGTGTTTTCTTCTTTCCTTGTGGTTATCAGCATATACCTGGATCACGCGAACCCACAGTGATTTACTTGTATATATATATATATATATATATATATATATATATATATATATATATATATATATATATATATATATAATTGTTTTGATCTTATTTACATTTGTAAATAATAATATTTACGAATATTGGTAAAATTGTAGTTTGGGCCAATATGCCCCAGTAATTTAGAAATTAATTTATCCTGTGTATTTTGGTGATTTAATCGAATTCGACCTTTATTTCCGGGGGAAAGTACCCGTTTTAGAGCTTTACCCTTCCTCCTCCCCATCCTCCCCCCCCCTAAAAAAAGCCGTATGGAAAAACTTTGAAATTCATTTCTTATTTTGCCCCCCTGGTTGACATGGGGTTAGAAATATTCCAAATAGGAGATCTTGTAGTGGTTACTCTCCCCTACAACTGCGGATTGGTCACTTACCGTCCGCTTCCCAGCCAATCAGCGGCGAGTTCCACAAAACAGCCCTCGCGTTCGAACTGCGAGGTGATGGGTCAGTTACCGCCTTCATATCAGCCAATCAGCACCGTTTCTCATCTTTGCACTTCGACTCTTGATTCGGCAGACTCATATAAATACTCTCCTGCCTCGCCGTTTATTTAATTCACGGTTTCAAATTCTCGAATCACGCGGGTTATACATTACACCATGTCCGTTCATACAGTACCAAAATATTTAAATTTATTTTGAGCATTTTTTTAATGATTTTTTTTTTCACTCATAAATATAAGTAATTCTTTGCTTCCATATATTATTGCCCAATCTCTACTGAAAACAAGATTTTTAATTCCTGGAAATTTTCAGTAATGAGTCGACACTTGAAGGATTATTCCAACATCAACATCTTCTCAGGTAATGTGATTTATTTATTTAATGTTACGATGCCAAGAGTTGACAGATCATTGTTTTTGTGAGGTCCTTCCAAAGAATGGTCCTATATTGATGGTATTAATTCACAATAACAAAGCACACCATTAAGTCGTGATGGTGTTGAATCAAAGTTCACTCTACTGCACTGGTTAATTTAAAGCTGCTAATGAGGCCCGAATTCAGAACGGTCGTTTGAACCCGTGCGCAGGTTTAAAACAAGGATCGAGTTGGGATTACAGCTTGTTAGTGTTCAGAACGATGGCCATTTCCTTCACACTATAACTCCCGCAATAAAATGTCCTTCTAGTCACCACTTATGGCCGTCAGATGCCTTCATCCCATCCAAATCTAAATTTAACAACTCTGTCAAGTGTTGCCAAATTTTTATAAGATTACATGAAGCTGAGAAAACACGTGCAGGTCAAAATCTATTACAGGTATTACTTTGACTCCTTTCTGACCGATGAGACGATATTTTTGTTAGGAGACTTGTTGCTATTTGTACTTACAACAATAAAGGATGTAATAAATTAGTTTAACTTTTACAGCACAGTAATCTTCATGTTGTACATGAGTTACAGATTTTTTCTACTTTTCTTAGCTCAAAAACAGTTTTTGGAAACTCGTTAAATAAATTTTGAAGGCATAACCGCATAAGACAAGTGAGTAAGACTGCTTTCTCCCTCTCTCTTACAGACGAGGACACAGAGTTAGTTCCTTTACGCAACACCAGTCATCCCCAGGACTCTGCTAATGGAGAAAGGTAGGTCTTGCAGGGACACAGGAACCAGCAAGAGTAGTTCAAGCCTGTCTGTATACAGTCAGTTTGTTCAAGGGGTCAGGCTATAGGCTGTTTTCACAGCTTCACTGGGGCAATAAATTTAGCTCTACCATTGGAAAAATATTTGACAACTTCTCCAGTAAGATTTCATATGAAGTAAGAACACAAACATTATACAATACAGTACCCACAAATTATAGTAGCGCTGTAATGATTGGTGTTAATTTACTTCTCTGCTCAAGTCCTTGTTACTGTCACTCTCTCATATGGCCTCAGCTTGTATACATCTATCTATTGATCAGACAAGGTGAATGAGTTAGTTTGCAGGACCTCCTGGAGCTTTGTTGTGATAACATCTCTTGGCCAGCGTCAGACAGAGGCGACAGCCATCCAGTCATTACCAATTATGTTAAATTTCCATCCATCACCCACAGGGCTAGAAGTTACTGGATCATTCTTCAAAATTACTCCTGATAAATGTCTACACATTGATAGTTGGTGTGACTCGATTTCTCCCTTCCTAGTGAGGAACTGGTACCAAAAGTCATTTGCTTAAGTATATTGTGGCTTTAAACTATATACCGTACAGTGTCATACAGAAGAACTCTAACTTTGACTGTAGGTTAAGTGAGAAGATTCCTACTGTACTTGTCTGAAATTGTCTTTGAACCATTATTGGTATTTATTGGTGTAAGATCCCTCATCTTACCATAGCGACAAATGCTCTCACTTAATATCAACCATCAAAAGATTCACATGGAAGGATGAAAAGAGGGGTCATAATATTGAGAGATTTTAATATAGGGTAATACTGTCCTTGGTATTTTGTGTTGACAAGAGCATGTACGTACAGTACATATAATTGTCTGGTCCTTTCTGCATGTTATCGATGTACAGTATACTGTAGTATAATGGTTATGGTGTAACTCACGTGAGAAAATTATATTAAACTAAAAGTCTGACAAAATTTAATGTTTATGCATTAGTAAACCAGATACTTAGTGACTTTATTTTTCAGCTCAGAGGACGATGGTTTGCCTACTGATGGAGGTGAGAGCAACCCCTGGATGATGGCCAGTGCACCTTATCAAAATATTAATTGTGATAAGAACATAGCTTTGTATAATGCAGCTTCTACAGGTAATGACAAAGAAGTCTGTAAATTACTTAATGAAGATGTAGATGCAAATTATCAAGACAAGGAAGGCAGAACTCCACTTCTCGTGGCTATTTGTAACAAGGAGCTTTCATGCATCAACATCTTAATAAACAAATCTGATATAAGTCTTGAAGACAAATCTGGAAGAGGTGTTCTTCATTATGCTGTACAAACAAGATCACCAGGCCTACTAAAAGATTTACTCGGATTTCCAGGCATTAAGGAGAGAATAAATTATGAAAATTTAAAGATTGGAACCCCACTCTTGTATGCAATCCACTGTTTTTCTTTCGAGTGTGTAGAAGTACTGCTGGATGAGGGTGCCTCAGTAACCTTGGCATGTGAAGTTGGTGGTAATCTTCAGTTTCCCTTACACGAGGCTGCAAAAAGTGGAATGTGTGGAATCTGCCAAAGAATTGTTAATATAGATGTGAACACTCTTAAACTCGAGAATGGCAAGGGAGAGACCCCACTTCACATGGCAGTACATGGTAAAAGGAAGAAGGGCAAATATGTTGTTCAACTGCTGAGTTCACTTTGTATCAAATATAATTATGAACTTTCGCAGGTAAACGCCGATGGTGAAACACCAATGCACATTGCTGCTAAAAATGGAAAGGAAATGTTTGTTAAGGAACTGTTACATGGGTCAGTCACCAAGAGTGATAAGCAGAAAAATGTTCCATTACATAATGCAGCTGGTAGCGGCAGTTTAGCTTCATGCCAACTCCTTGTACGGAAAGCAAAATCAATGCTCTATCACTTCAATGCTGATAATTACCTTCCTCTTGATATGCCCTTTGAGAAGGACAAGAAGAAGGACAGGGAGGAGAAGAAGGAGGATCATGTTAAAGCTTTTCTAGTTAAAAACACATCTCTTTCTGTCATAGAGAAAAAGGCCAAGAAACCAGAAAAGAAAAGACTACTTTCTTCATTAAAGCAACGCATGAAGACATATTTTGATGATGCTCTTAAAAAGAAGAAGAAGTAAGTACATTTTTAACTAATGTTCATATACAGTAGTGTTGCTCTTACTTAATATTTGTATGAATCTTGTGTTTATTTTAAAAGGCCAACGATGCTTCCATTTTCATTATTTATTATTTGTACTGTACAGTACAGTATTTATTCTCATGTTTGAAGTTTAATGCCAGGTAGACTTAATAATTTATTATCCAGTGTGGTTATTTTTTCATCTACAGGGTGACCCATGAAAGATATATATATATATATATATATATATATATATATATATATATATATATATATATATATATATATATATATATATATATATATATATACATATATATATATATATATATACATATATATACATATATACACACACACAGGGGGTCCTCATTATAAGTGGTTTCACACTTAAGTTGGTCAAATAAATATTTGTGGACCTACAATTAAAAGTCCTCGCAGTTAAGAAGATTCTAAGGCTGAAATCCTTCAATGGGAGCACAAGTGTTTAAGTGGTTGAAATTCCCACCCGCCTCCCATTCTCTTAAAGGTCATCCTTCTCACCTGCACTATGCATGCTCAGTACCAATCACCTGTGTCCACAGGCATTATTTTGAAGTGCTCCAAAAACTATAATTATCAATTTTGTCGTATCCTTGGTGACATTGGTGGATTATTTTTGTAGCCATCAGTTCCAGACCGAAGCAAGGTGGTGTAGTGGCTAAAGAGAGGCGTAGTAGCTATGGGATGGTCGTTACACTAGGAGTTACATATCGTAAGAAAAGTGGTGAGCATATCTCAATGAACCACTTTCACTGAAATGAGTGCGTGGTTAGGTAGCTTGGGCCGCATCAACACACCGACCCCAAACGACTCAGTCCCTTAAATAAGTTATAAAGCTAAATAATTTAATAAAATGATGTGGAGAAGTTAAATCTTGTTAAAACTACACAGGTGGTATGAACATGCATAAAAAAATAAAGGTGAGAATGAATAAAGAAACTACAGTACAAGATATTTGTAATAAGAAAGAGGGAAGAGAGCAAAAGTGTATATAATTACAGCAGTCAGTTTTGGTGAATAAAATCTCCTCTAGACATGATAAGCAGCAGGTATGAAGGTGAGAAATAGCTGGTATATGGCCTACAGACATTAGATAAAGTGGAATGTCTTTTTTAACAGGATTGTCGTAGAAGCCATCATTTCCAGCGATTGGTGGGCAACAGCCATGTCTCCCAGGGGTGACGCAACACCGTCAGGCTTACGGTAACCTTATCAGGACTTTCCCTGACCTTGCCGAGAAGTTACTGAATGAAAAATACACATCAGTGAACCCCAAGAACCAAGAGTTAATGACTTTTGAGTTCACTGAGTTTGAGAATAACTATTATATTCCAAAAGGTAAATTATCTATTGAAAATACTTATCTTAAACATTCCTTGAATTTATTTAATGTTTTTGTTGTTGTTGTTGTTGCTCAGTGAGTGTCACAATAGATTAATATTATAATATTGAGTACATATATATTCATATCTCATCTTCCCTAACTGTGAATTGTTAACATTGCAAACTTTTGTAACATTCTGGAAAATTTGCAAACATTACATTATTCTTTCTTACAAAATTTTCCCTATTTTCCTAAAGATTCAGCTTTAATTTTTACTTTCTGAGCATCAAACACTTTTCTCCATCACTGTTTGAAATTTTACAGCAATTTTGTTAAATTTTTTGAGTTGCTCGATTAATTTTGTTGCTTTTACTTTTATTTACTTTTATCCTCTTCACCACTGATCGGCTCGTTAGCCGCTTGGGTGATCGGTTACGTCTCAAGGGGCGCCACTCAGTTGAGTGTGCTTACCTGGAGCTGGCGGACGCTCGCCCCACGAGGGGGTCACATCTCAAGGTTGAAGAAGCCGCAGGTCCAGAAAACTGTGAGGGCAAACTTTTTCGGAGTGAGAGTTGTGAACTCTTGGAACAATCTGCCAGAGAATGTTGTGACGGCACCGAGTGTGAGCTCTTTCAAGATAAGACTTGATCACCACTGGAACAGGTTCAGGTACATTCAGGAGCCGGTGCATGCCCAGTACTTGCCAACAGTACGTAACAGAGACGTGACCGATCCCCCAAGCAGCTAACAAGCCGACCAGTGGTGAAGAGGATAAAAGTAACATTTGTTGCCAACCAGTATAATGGATCTTACCAGCCTTTTGTTTTTATCTAGATTTTTTTTTTTGTATTGATACGGTATAGACAATTACATCTTTGATCAGAATTATGATATCAATTGTTGTTGTGCATGCTTATTGTAATTTGACAAATAAATGTCTTGGAGTTGCAAGTTCGTATAATACATTCTGACTGATATTTACTGTAATTTTTATTAAGAGTGAGTATGGGTTCTATTTAATGAGAAGTTTATGATAGTGAAATTTTTTTTTATTATATTCTATCCAATTACTGAAAGTACCATCCTCATGTCTGAGGGTTGATGACTATAACCCTTGTAGTGGACGTCTCCCCTACAACTGCATAGCCGCATGCCACCTGCTACGTCTTCCCTAGCAACCAAACGAGCTGCCCAGGGGGGGGCGTCACCAGATGCCACAGTATCCTAGCAACGGAGTCAAAAGACCGGCGGCTTCCCATGGTTGACTCACGGCTGCTGTGTATATAAGCTCTGTCTCTCCATTGAGATTCATTCTGGCCTCTCTTCTTGAACACGCAACACCTCCTCCTCTGCCGCTGCCTGGCGGCCCTCGCTTCTCCTCTGCCTGCCTGGCGGTCCTCGCTCCCGCCGGCGAGCATGGCGACCCACAAGCTGTCCTTCTCTGAGCGTCCTCACCAACCAGCTCTCTTATTCTGCTCTCGGTTCCTGAACACGCAACACCACCTCCAAGCAAGCTCCTCGCTGTCCCATTCTCATTCAACCTGGAGGCCAGCAACAGGCAACATCTTCTCTAACGAAGCTCCTGCACGTCTACCTCCTTCAACACGCTACTCACCGAACGTGTCTACTGAGCAGCTCCTCACCACACGGCATCTCCAGCACCAGACTGTCTACCATATAACTTATATTATATAAGAAAACCACCACCTTAGAGTTTCCATCCATCCTGAGTGCTAGACAACATAATATCACGAAACCCTACACCCTCCACTCAAAATATTTAATGGCTGTCTATAGCAGTCCTCCAAGATCTTACACCTTCGAGGACTTAACTTTTAATTTCTTTCATTCATCCCAGTCTCTACCATTTTTCACTTATACTAAATTACATGGGTAAATTGACACTACTTTTCTTATTTAGTAAAATTTTCATTATTCCTTTTTTTGTTCCAGCCAATGCTAAAAATTCAGAGGATTACGATGAAGAGAGTCCATTCAAGAACACCGGCGAGTTAAAACTTGGAGCTAAGCAGATAGACGACTTCTCCACTTACTACAACCATCCTGTCAGAATCATGATTGAGAAGCAGGAGGCTAACCTCTTGTTGAACCCTGTCACCCAAGCCTGGCTCGACTACAAATGGTCCTACCTCATTAACTTCTACAGATTCTTGATAGGTTCTGACTTCATCCACTTAATGTTTCTGATCGCCTACATGGGTACTGTCTGGTGAGTTGGGGTGGTGGTGGTAGTGACTGTTGGTGAGTGGGTGGTGGTCGTAGTGACTGTTGGTGAGTGGGGATGGTGGTTAGTGACTGATGGTGGTGGTGACAGTTGATGGATGGGAGTGGTGGTGGTAGTGAGTGTTGATGAGTAGGGGGTGGTTATGGTATAATTGTTGGTTCAGATAATTTTGATAATACTTGCAACAGGGAATCTCTCTTGTTGGTGACAGAAACTCAGATGTATGACAGGCAACTTTATTCTTGGGGTGATGATGTAGAAGGCATGTGACAAGTACACACAAAAATCACACTCACAAATAGTCCCCAATTGTGTCCACACTATTAGTTATGTATAGGTAAATAACGAATAACAAGAAGAGAAAAGACGTAATGTTGACATGTGTATAAGGACAGTTCCTCAGTGGGAATATAATTACAATAATATTTCACACACTTATAACAAGCTAGACGCAACAATCGAGTGTCTATAGTCAGTAAAACAATGTCTGTTTTCAAGAGTATGAGAGACTTGATTGACCGCCCAAGCGGCTAATGAGCCGATCAGTAGCGAAGAGGATAAAAGTACAGTATGATCATTTATGCCCCAATGTACTGTAGATCCCATTATGTACACCGAAGCGTAGACTAGGAATCCTATCTTGCAACCAATCCCATGTCAAACTGACATCTTGTATAGCTCCTGTTAGCTGCCAACACCTTGGTGCGTGGGTCTACAAACTGCCCTAGGCCTAAGGTCACATCACCAACTCCCTCCCTGGGACAATGGCGCATCACAAGGTGTGAGTGGGCCTTACTGGTAGTGCATATGGCGGCAATAATGCTGTAGGGAAGAATAAGTCACCCTGCTCATACAAATTACTGTCTGTGCTCTAAGGAATTAAGTAGTGTTGTGTGTGAAGCTCATTTGTTTATAGAGATTTAATTGGTTTCTTACCAATGTTATGCTCACTAGAGGATTATTTCTTTCTATCTCTTGCAGGAATACGACTGACATTGATAGCTGTGACATTGACTGGGCTACAAAACAAATTTTGGCTCCACATGTATTCTACTGTTTGCTGTGGTTGTCATGGATATTGATATTCTGTGAAGAAGTTTTCTTATTCATTACAGTAAGTTTAATTTATTCTTGAACTGGTAGAGTATTGTCTTAACCACACAGTCTTCTTTGTAGCAACAACATGGCAGCTGTGTTATCCTTAAAATTAAATGTCAGAATTAAAAAAGTAAGCTCATTCTTAAGTTCCATTTTCTGCCTGGAGCTGTGGTTCTTACTGTACAGTACTGTATTATTAGTTTGTAATATATTGTTTGTACAACCATCACTTTCTTGTAACAGTTGCAATGTTGATAGTCTTGGTCACACACACACACACACACACACACACACACACACACACACACACACACACACACACACACACACACACACACACATTCAATGCATATTATATCATTATGTCTAAATTAAATGTAAGTCTGTATATTTTCAGCCACCGGCTGGAACTCTATTAATAAACCGTTTATTATTATTATTATTATTATTATTATTATTATTATTATTACACACACACACACACACACACACACACACAAAGGAAGTACAATGAACCACTCAAATGAACTGGCTGCCAGAATGTTGCCATACATTAATGGACCTTTTAGAAAAAAAGCTTTGTGAATCCTGTCTCGTTCTTCAAACACCCTATCCCATTGTTAAATCGCCACAGCATTATGCCAATACATGTACACAGCATAAATCACTTTGGTTAACTGTTAAGCAAATTTACTTCATATGCTCCAATGACATGATTTTGTGTTTTACGACTTAGGTATTCTGTGAACATAATTTAGAAAACAAATATATCTCTTCTGTTTCTCTGATGTTGAGGAATCTTGGAACAACAGAGTTATTTTGTTTGTGTGTCCCCCGTTGCCACTTTCTAACACTTACAGTTCCAAAATTTAGGACTTTCACATGATAATAATTTCCTTACAATATATTTTTTTAATCTGGCTTATATAAATACTGTACTTGGAGATCAATGAGTGAAAACAATCTATCTGTTATTACTCAAAAGAAAACCAGTCACACTATAATTCCATTCTCAGTGTGTCATGCTCGAGGGGTTGTATATTACCAGGTGAGGAAATTGTATTTAAAGTCAACCAACACAGAGACACTGTTCCTGGATCTATGACATGAAAGAGAACACCTCTTCATGACTCTTTCTGGCAGCATGATCATTATTGTTTAGGAAGTTATGCATGCATACTACATGGTGTTATAAATGTGTGGGTAATATAGACTTTCATGTTGAAGCTCCCTCCCTTACAGTATCAATTTGTGTTTAATCACATAACATATTTATCTGGAAAAAACAAAGATGCTTGTTCTGTAGCTGGCTGTGTATTTAAGTCACAAACAAAGGCGTGGCCCTACCTACTCCTGTATAGGGTTAGGTAATAAAATGATGGTTGCCCCTCGTGTAACGAGGATGGCCAGCCCAAGGACCACCTAGGTGTGAATTTGTTTAAGGTGTAGAAGCTGTCGCCAACACAGCTACCACACCCCAAGTAAACAAGTTGCATTATCCAGTGTCAAGGAATAGTCCGAGAAGACCGGACAACTCGCCAACTGCACTGGCTAACCATTACCCCGGAATACGATCCGCATATCGATTAACATCCAGGTTCCCAATTACTGATGGGTAGACGGAGGCAAATGGCGTAAAGAAACTTGCCCATAGTTTCATCCTGCCCGGGGATCGAACTCGGGTCATGAACACAACCACTTAACTCTCTGCCCTGTGCAGCTACCAAACAGGGAGGTACTACCACCTGGCAAGATATTGGAAGCATAATGTGTTGTCTAATGGTAGACCCTGCTGCCATATGGTATCACAAAAAATTGTGACCAAGTCCCAGGTTGCTGATCTGTCTTTCTGCCTCATTTACACACAATTGCAGGGTCTCCATTGTTTGTCTTACTATTGACAACGCAACATCCAAACTGTCATTTCTCACTATTGATTGATTTTTTCATTTTTGTACTTATTATTATTATTATTATTATTATTATTATTATTATTATTATTATTATTATTGTTGTTATTGTTATACTTTTTATTTATTTTATTAATTATTAGTAATATTATTAGTATTACTATATTTCGCCCTCCAGGCCCTGATGTGGGTCAGTGACCTGTGCCCGGGTGGGCTAATCCCCGTAAAAAAAAAAAAAAAAAATCTTATCTATTGTTTCTGTTACAGCTCAACAGGAGGTACATCACCTTCACCCCAAATGTACTGCTGATCTTTAGGCTTGTGCAGTTTGTTCTCACTTTGATCCTCTTAATCTCACCTCTAGTAATGCAGTCATGCCAGCAGCGTCTTGGAGTGGTGCAGGAGGTGAGTAGACCCTCATAGTGTGACAGATAGGTTGTACCTGTATGTATTTTCCTTACAGTATGATAGGTAGGTAGGTTGTACTTCCTTATCTTAATTAAGCAAAACAGCTTATGATGAATATGAAATTCATATTCAGTAATAGTTGTTACCTCCAATCAATATTACCAGTACAAGTGCAGTACAGTATGGGTCTTGTATGGTTTGTCTTGAATACCATAGCACTCGATTATAAATAATATTCTGAAACTATAACTTAATGTTTATGTAGTTATTGTATATTATGATTTCCAACTGAACTGGAGGGATTTTGTTTTCTATGTTGCACTCAGAGTGAGGTTTTGATGCACTCCATATAAATAAGCAGCATAAAATACAGTATAATTAAGTAAATTGAATAAAGGTAGATTATTTCCAGACTTTTCACATCGGCTTGTAAATATTACCATTTTGCTGTGTTGTTCTAGGTGTGGTCATGGCAGTGTGGGGTGGTAGCAGTGTTGCTGACTTGGGTACATGTACTCGATGCAATCCACCAAATATACACATCTGAAACTCTACCTGTCCTTAAAGACTTCGGGAATATCATCTTTAAAGTTTTGTATTTTGTATTTACATTTGTTTTGATATTTTCATTCATTTTCCACATCCTGCTTCGGGGACAAAAGAACTTTTCCACATGGTATCAATCAATAGGAAGTTCTCTGGCATGGATGCTGCTGGATCTTGATTATGGGGACATATTCGTGGATCCAGATTCGCATCTACAGTATCCTATCCAGAGTAACTTAATTTTCTTCTTGTTTGTCACGTGTATTGTATTCTTGATAATGAGCTTGATTGACAAAGAGCAACAAACTGTTACCGAAAGGAATCCTCACAGTGTGGACATCAAAAGAATAGCGCTAAGAGTCGAGCTGATTTTCAAGCTTGATAAATGTGCTTTCTGGTGTCACCGTTCATATGTCAAGACCATTTTAAAAAAGAGCGATCAAGCCCCCTTCTTATTGGATGCATTTTTTGGGAGTACACCACCTACAAAAACAAAGGAAGAAACTCCCATCCAAAGCATATTAGATAAAGTGGAGGAAATTGTGAAGAATAATGAAAACATGTTAAAAGATGTCGAAAACACACATGACATTTTGAGACGTCATGACAAATATCTTGAACATTTGAAAAATATTGAGAAGCTTGATATCTTGAAAGACTGTGTCAAGAAGCTGGACATTTTGGACAACAAACTTGACATCTTAAAAGGCTATGACAATAAACTTGATATGTTGGACAACAAACTTGGCATCTTGAAAGACTATGACAACAAACTTGATATGTTGGACAACAAACTTGACATCTTAAAAGGCTATGACAACAAACTTGATATGTTGGACAACAAACTAGACATCTTGAAAGACTATGACATAAAGATGAGCACCATAAAAGATGATATAATTAATGAGATAAAGAATCAAACTGAGTAAGAAAATCAAAGCTCTAAAACATTTTATTCATGAGTGGTGTGAGGCACAAGACTGGTCCTCGCTGGGACACAGTCATCATACCCATAATGCCTTAAGGGTGATGGGGTAATATTGAAGTTCTTAGTCAACTTCATTGATGCTATTTTAATGAACCTCAGTTTGATCAAGATACAATGTGGAGTTAATACATTTAATGGACCTTTGAAGAAAAAACTGAAGGGTTCTTTCACCCACCACATGGTTCAGACTTCCATGGCCATGGTTGTTAATCATAAAATCTCAGCTGAGCCTGTACACTATATTGTCTGTCAATTTACCCATTAATAGCGCTGATTAAGGTAACTTCAGTATTACCCTTAAATGTTTTGTGAATAAAGATGGCCTACTTATTGTCTTCATATATGTTACTGATCAAGTTATAAACCACATAGTGGAACCTTTACTTTCCATTTACCGTTTAAGTGACATGCCCATTAGTGTTAATTGTAAGCTTTTGGTGTATGCCGATCAAACTGGGTTCAACACGTCAGGAAATTCAACTCTTCCCCCCACATTACATCATAACATACTTCTCTTCCCTTCCTTGTCTATGTTGCCCAGATACAGCTTGAGTCAACTTGCTGAAAATGGGTTGGTTTAAGGAAGCCAAGAGACACGGTAATTATGTGTCAATCAGCCATAAAACCCTTGTTGTGAAGGTCCCCAGGGCAGGTGGACAACCGCCCACCACTGTAGCTGCCCGCACAGGATCCCCACGAACTCCTCAAACCATAGAGGGAACCTGACCCAGCCCTCATTCAGCATTACAAATGTTACAACATGTCCACCCTCTCTACTGCAGGAGACAACTACCCACAAAGACCAGTAACAGTTGTCCCTCCCACTTGAACAAGGAGTCATCCTCAGTTCATCCTAAGTGTGTTGGTTGTAGCACTTGGAGTACGTTACTCTCCTCTCCCTACCATTTTTAACTTTCTCTGATCTTTCTTTTTCACACCTGAGTGACCCTGAGTTTTTGTTCTTTATTCAGTACCAGTCTTCCTACACTGGTGGTGATGGCATTGGTCCCCTGGGTGTGTGGGACTATGTGTATAAGATACTCGAGCGTGTAGTATACATTGATCTAAGTGCAGTGTAATACTTGTTATCTTCAACCATAAATTTTATGTTTATTTTGTAGATACACTATTACCGATTAGTCCCCAGCTTAAGTAAAGGAGAAGTTGAGGATGACTTTGTTGGCTACCCTTATTGGAATGGACTTTCTGTTTAATTATAGTCAACCAAAATTCCATTGAGTTCACTCTGGCTATCATACTTGCAATTTTACCTGGCAATACTGTTATGTGCAACGAATCTCGCAATATAACTTACATCCCTTCAAAACCAATTGCTTCAAGAGCTGTACTTTAACGTGCCTGGCAACTATTGTCCCTGCCGGATGAACTAACTGTAACTGTGTGTACTTTATTCTTTATATATACAATATTATATTGTATGATTATATAATATGTCAGTATAGCATTACATTGGATATTGTCTTAGTGAATACGTAGTTATAATAATAACTTCTATAATTTAACATTAACATGTTAAGTACAGGGTTGACATGATTAAAATAAAAAAATTTTAATCGAGTTATTTTAATCGATTATAATCAGAGAAAAATAATTGATTATAATCAATATAATTTTTATTTTAATTAAAATAATTAAAAAATCAAAAAGACATTTTCCACTATTTTTGTGTTGTACTCTTTATCATCTAAAACTCTACATTGACACACCGATAGATAGACAGCTACTGGTAGGTATACATAACTTGGTGCTACTCATACATGTTACATCATAATTTTAAATTTAAGTTACAGGGGTGTGAAATATCAGTGCACCCATGACAACCAGTGTTTTTGTGAACTCTATAGTGTTTATAGAAATATATGGTTAGTTTATAATAGTAACCAGGTAAAGACTGTAACAAAAAAAATATGTTTTTCCTAGGGCTCTTGTGATTCAAGCGAATCTGACCTTCGTTTCTGGTGCTAACCGCCCGTTTTCGAGTTGAGCCTCCCCCATGACGGATGAGGGAAGGACCTAACCTAATTTAACTGAACCTAACCATAAAAAACATGAAAACCCCCGACCTCTGACCCTCCCTAAGTGTTGATGGCGTTTTTACCTTAGACGCTGGCGTTATGTGACGTGTCTGGGTCCTCTAGCTGTGAGAGTGGCCTGATGGTCTGGTTTGTGGGTTCTCGAGGTCAGGGCGAGTAGCTGGAGGCGGCTGCTGGGTAGGTTACGTTAGGTGAGGTTAGGTCAGGTCAGGTCAGGTCCTTCCCTCATCCCTGTCAGGGGAGATGTGAGCTTAACTAAAAAATAGGCGGTTAGCATCCTCAACAAAACCATTGTGAAAACGTATTTCTTATGGAAAAATCGAAACCTGGCTACTATCATAAATTGACCAAATATTTATTCTTTGAGTTGTTATAAATAATGTATGTAAGATTATAAACATAACGTAAAGAAACTTGATATGTTGCCTAGGGAATATTATAGTACATAAACCGTAATTAGTCTGTTACATGAATGACCTGATTTGAGTGACCTGACTGGTTTCTGCCAACTACCTGAGTCTCCATTCCCCAAACCTCAAGATTCACCTAAGGAAACGTGGCCACAATGGAGCACCAAGAGCATTTGAAGAACCTACTGTACGTCTGGACTTTGCCAATGTGAGAAAGACCTCGGAGAAGCATTTGAAGGACTTAGATCACAGCATCAAGTGGAATTGTGTAAAATGAACTCTAAAGGCACATTAACACGTAATGAACCCGAGAATATTGTGCTGTATTTGTTTGGCTAAATACGGTGTGGTGATCATATTTTAATTCTTCATCTTAATGGTTGTACTAATACTTAAAAATTTATAATGTTAGTGTTAAAGTGTAGTCCTGCATAATACTCATCATGCTTTATTAAAATCTTATAATAATTGCAATATTTTACATGTCCGAGGGGGATTTTATCCAAGAGGGTTTTATCTAATGGAGTTTCCTAGATTTTTTTTTAGTGGGGTTAGCCCATCCGGGTCACTGACTCACATCAGGGACTGGGGAGCGAAAATATAATAATAATAATAATAATAATAATAATAATAATAATAATAACCACAAATAAATACTAATATGAAGAAAAAAATAAGCAAGAGTGAGAAATGATATCCAGTGCAGGTTCAGATACAATCTGGAGCCAGTGTATGATTGCCAAATTGCCCACCCAGCTAACGGGCCGATTAATGGAGAAGAGGACAAGTCATTGAGCAAGACCCAAGTAACAAAGTAACATACGATATTCCAAATAAACTCTTTTAAAAATGTATGAATAAGTAATTGAAACCCAGTTATCAGTGACTGTCTCTCCATCAAATTATATAACAGTAAATACACAAGTTAACATTAAAACCAGAGAGGAGAGCAACATAAACCCAATTTAAATAGGCCGCGCTTCACTTATATGACGTCATAGGTGAACTTCTATGACGTCAGAGAGAAAACCTGTTCTGATTGGTCGTTGACATCCAGGTTTTCAAACATGGCGGATATCCCTTAGTGATGAAAGGCCTTTTCCTTTGACCAATATAAGTGAAAATGTCCAGTTCTGAAGTACAAACCGGGAATTCTTCACAACAGATAAATGAAGGTAATATTATAGCACATTCAGGTTACTCTAGGGATATTATATATGATAAAATAATAATGAATCACAATCGTTCCAATCATACTTCTCAATCCAGTTTACTTCATCGAATTTTGGAACTTCTTTTAGTTGTTGATGAAGAATAAACAAGTTGTGAAAAGACCACAACACCAATGGCTTTTAAACCCTCCTCAACACTATAGAGAGACCTTTAAACCAAGAGTAACCACAAGATTGTTTTAAGTTTTAGTTATGTTGGTTTATAGTAAAATATATCCTTTAATGACAAAATAAAACCTTAACTGTTCTTGTTGGGTTTACTTGATATAAACCCTTGTGTGTTATGGTAGTTTTCAGTGATTTACTAATGATCAAATTACACTTTATTATTGGGTAGTTGTCTTAGTTATTTTATTTTTCCTGTTCCTCCATTAACAATTTACTGTAGATCATCTTGTATTTAATGAATGTTTAGTTATCTGTGTTCCCCCCTTGTTTGTTATGGGATAGTGTAATTGGTTCTTGATATAGAAGGAATTATTATTGTTTTATTTCTTTTAAAGGAAGATGATAGAAGATAACTAGTAATTTAGGTTAGGTTAGGTTAAATAAGGTAAATTAGGTTGGTTAGGTTAAATAAGGTTGGTTAGGTTAGGTTAAATAAGGTAAATTAGGTTGGTTAGGTTAGGTTAAATAAGGTTGGTTAGGTTAGGTTAAATAAGGTAAATTAAGTTGGTTAGGTAAGACAGATTAGTAGTGGTTAGGAGCTGCCAGATAGTTTTACCCCTGTTAAAGATGATTACTGTATCTCTAAATGGATATCATGAAGATTAGGAACCTCTCTACTTACTTGACCATGTGATTAAAAACCCTAATGCTAATTGTGACAGTTTGGATATAGGTTCTGGGTTAAATTATAGACTCGGTCACCCGGATGTTTTATTGTATGTGTTTTGAATGATTTTGATCTACCCTAATCTAACCTAACCGAGCTACAGGGCCCAGGAATTATATCTAACATAACCTAAATTCCTAAGATTCCCCGGATGACCGAAACTAAAATAATACCAGGTTATGTTGCTTTAATTTATCGTCATTGCTACTGGTACTCCATTTGCGACTTGGGTTGTCGGTCATATATCTGTTAGCTGTGTACTCTTGGCAATTACTGGAGGACTGTAGTGTTGCAGATTTGAGGATGTTACTCTGATTGATTCTTATGAAACAGGCCGATGAACCAACCAGCCTCTGAACTGACGTAACTTTGTACTCATATAAGAATAGTTTTTATATAAATTAATTAAGCTTGGGTACGGTTGGTTGGTTGGTTCATTTCACACACATACAGAATTTCAAATGACATGGATTTTACCACAGCCTCCTTGATGGCAGTTATTGTCAGGGTTAAAAAATGGACAATTATAATGTGATAGTTCTGGCACTGAATCTGTTAACTACAACTACTGTACAGGAAAATAAGGTACTGTACTATGTCCTTCAAACAAGACTAAAATAGAAAGGCCTGTTGAGAAGCATGGGTTTATTTAAGAAGATTAAAAGTACCTTAAAGTATTCAGACAAGTGTTCATGCTTTTAACTTTTATCCCCTTCACCACTGATCGGCTCGGTAGTCGCTGGGGTTGTTGGTCACATCTATTATGTTATCCACTGTTAGCAAGTACTGGGCATTCACTGTCTCCTGAATATATCTGAACCTCAAGTAATGAAAATTGTCAGAGCTAACCTCTTTGGAATGTTGTAATGGTATCAAGTGTGAGTGCATTTAAAACCAGACTTGACCAACACTGGTGATAGTCTAGGTATACATTGAAGAACCTGTACAGGCCTAGTATCGTACAATATTTGTCAATAGTCTCTAATAGAAAACTGACCAGCTAGAACCAACCAGTGGTAAAGAGGATTATGTAAAGTAAAGTTTAAGAGTGACCGTATTTATCATTAATTTTGTATCCACTGAAGATTAAACACGTTTATGCTACAAATTAGATGGGTAAATTTAATTATTGCACTGTAGGTTATGTTAGGTTATTTTGAATTAAGCACTGTAGGTTAGGTTAGTTTACTTTAGTTTAGCATTAGGGCTAAAATAAGTTGGGCAGTTAATCTTCGTGCAATGAAAAATTATCAAGACCCAAAATAAAAGTGTTACAACAGAAAACTATAAATCACAAAGATTAGCCACCTACTGTATATTCTGAACTGAGAATTCTTCCCATATAAAGCCAACTCATTGTCAGAGACTCGCAGTCCATTGCCCTAGTAGAATGTCCAACTCATCACTTGAATTAACTCCAGCTCTCATGACAAAAATGCACCATAGAACAACACTATTCCTGCATATATAACAGTACACTGTACTGTACTGTACTGTACTGTACTGTACTGTATATTCCACTACACCTCCTAACACAGTGCTCTTCAAACACACACTTCTTACCACCTCCTTCATACAAAGACTTCAACCATGTAGTGCACTCCTGTATTGTAACACACTTCAGCTTGGTAAAACAACCTTGAGGTAGTTCTAGCATCTTTAAGTGATCCTTCCAAAGTTTGTGA